ATTTCTTAATTAATTTGGAGTTTGGCAAAAATATTGAGAGAAATTATTTTCTATAACTCTGTAATTTTATGTATTATGTATCTATCTTTGTGCAATTAGATTTTGAACAAAAATTTTAGCAAAAATAAGATTTACGTAAAATTAGTCGGAGAAAATAAGTCTTTTATCTTTATTGTATTTTTACCGCTTTACAACCTAAGCCAAAAGTTCTGTATTTGAATTCACTTATAACTAAACAATTATCGGTGTTTCAACATTAAAAGAGCCGATATTAAAGTTTGCGTTTCTTGGATAATACATTAAATAGCTATGTTTTCCACAAATTTTATACGGTAAAAATTATATAAAGAACATATTTGACCTATAACTTAGTTCTCCCGGAATTTAACATTTACTCTGTCAGAGATTTACGTTCGTAGCTTATTAAACATGTTTTTGAAATAAAATTTTGTAATCTCAGCTGTAGTAAAGCGGTATCGGTCGATCGCCTATCGCGCTTTCGAAACCTATAACTGTACACAAGTGGAAACTAATATTGGCAACGAGAATTAACGTCGAGAGAGATGTAAGAATCGCTCGAAATATGCGTTAAATTCACCTCGCTAGATTCGCGGCCTGGAACTTCCATGAAAGTACTAGCAACCTCTAGCGAAATTAGATTAGCTGATTGAAATTCACCGGGACGAGGAAATTATGTGGGCCGCAGTGTCAAGATCTCTGGAGATACTCGTTGCCTTCTTCGAATACTACACCACCAGGTAAGATCCTGTCTACATACGTATTTTCGCGCGACGACGTAAGCAGTCGCTCTCGCCTGAGTTGAAGCTAAATGCACATTTACATATACAGGCGACACGAGCGATGCGGATGACATAGACAACGCGAGACGATAGCAATGCAAATTTCTACAATCTATTATCTATGCAAATGAGAGAAGTTGTAAATAGAAGATCTATCGAATTAATTAGGGATTATTTTATCTTGAATGAGACGCGATGTGCGGAACATATTAAAAGCAGATTAAGGAATGATATTGGAAGATTAAAAGCGAAAGGCGCTTTATTTATTGTATATAATATAAATTAATTGATTGTGATAATAAATGCTTATATATAAATATATTTTTCACATTGTTCATATATTTCAGATGAACGTAATGTGAATTTTAATTTTTAACATCCTGAAATTTTGACATCCTCAAGATATATTTGTCGTGTTTTTTGTTTTCAACGCAGTGCTAAATTTTTGTCTTTAGTAAACACGCTTGCTAACACGCGCAGAATCAGGCAGTTTGTCTTTTATAACGCGACCTTGCTTCGAAGCGATTTCTATGTCGCACGTAAAATAGCGTCGCGCTGAAAAGATGCTCAAAAGCCTTTTCAGCATCTTTCATGCATACCGCAATGTGATTTTTTTTTAGAGCTGTGCTCTTTATAAATGGGGAAACGCAACGATAGGGTTAAGAGTCACGAAAGCGCAGTGTGTCAGTATGAGGACGTTCTCTATATCGATGGTCGTCTCCTCAAGGACGTCAAATCGAGCGCGAACGATTTCGGGATATCCGTCGGAACTTCCGTGGCTGTCCGGGGGCTGTTGTCAATTTGAAAATATTTGAGGTGCAGCCGAATCGTTCTCGTGACACCCGGAGAGAGGTATCGCGGTTGCAAGCCGTCGTCTCCGTTTCCAGCATTTTCGGCGCCGTTTTGCGACGACAGGCGCAATTTCTGCCCTTTTGCCAAGCACACGTCCGGAATGTCGGGACGTTTTCAATCTAATATAAGACAGCAGAAATGAGAAAATTGGTGAATTCGCGCCATTTACACACACATTTGCACACACACATTCTCTTTCTCTCTTTCAGCTGGTATTATATTTTTTTATTTATTAAAACGCTAGTGCGGCGTAATAGGGACATATATTTCTTGAAATGTCCTCGAAAGTGCTGTGTTGGCAGCAGAGGCTGTTGTGATCCTGGAGAACGTAAGATAAGATATAGCTAAGATACACTACTTATCATCTCACTTCTTGCCATATGAAATATCTTTATTGTTCTTGATGATATATAATAGTATTTTGAAATTTTATTTACGCCGAAGAAATGCGAACTGTAATTAAAAATATCTTTTCAAGTGCTGTTCTTGCCAATTTTAGATTGAAAACTTCAAGTTTAAAAGTTGCAACTTGCTGAGAATGTTTTTTTAAATTTACTCAATTTTTAATTGTGATTAAATATTACAATGTCAATAAAATCTGCTTCCTTTGTGCTTTAATGTTCAAGAAGCAATATTTCGGACATGATTTTGGCACAGCACGATCCTGTGACAGCGTGCATTAATGTGACTGAGTTGTAATACTAAGGCAATGGTGTCGGCAATGTTCACGATTCGGCAACATATTGGGTGCATACGCGCGTACTAGAATAATAACATCGTTAAATTAATCACGCTTTGTCGCCGGAACACGTTAGGGAATAACGAATAGGTAACGCGTCAAGTTGAATCGGGATTGCATCGAATAAAATTGACAAAGAGTGACTGACAATTTATCATAAATTTATGTAAATAATGTAGTTTAATAACTTTTTGCAAAAAATTACTGACTATTCGTTCATCGAGAATTTAATTTAACTCGATGGAAAAGAAAGAATAGTTTCCTATTTCATAAAATTGTTCTAATTAATAGGGAAAAGAAATGTAAAATTCAATGCTATCGATGCTTTTATTATTCAATTCCTTTTAATGATTAGTACGGATTGATTTTCTTGCGCAGAATATAAAACTCATTAAGATCTTGTAATATGATATTCTTTATCACTGATTTAACATTTCCAATTTAATAAATTTCAAAGGTGTTGCGCGCGTCTGACTGGCTGATTTCCACGTTTTACGCGTAACCAGAATAAACCGTCTTAGTAATCAGGCTCGATTAATTTCCGAGATAATCTTTGTCCGCAAAGTTTTCCCGCACAGAGTTTTTCAGCGAGAATAAATTTATTCATAATTTTATTCCAGATCGATCGTAACAAGATAGAATAATCGATATCGATTGTAATATATAAAATAAAAGTTGTTCGAAAGAGAGATTATTTAATTGATGAAATTAAAAGTATTATAATCCACTTGTAATTTTATCGATTGGCTTATTGAAGAGTATGTGGGTTTACACGCAGAGTTTTTTATTCTTCGAAATACCATGTCGAGATATCAAACAATATAATTTAATTTTAATAATTATATGTTGATATTTTTACATGAATTTTACACACATATATAAACATACATACATTTCTACTTTGCAATATATATATTACAATTCAATTATTCTGCGTTTGTTGCATTGAAATTGTGATTTAAATTGCAAACTATTTGATGCACAACGCCTTTGTTTCGCGATGGATCTCACCATCATACGAATATGAAGCTTAAAAGTATCAGACCACAGCATCGCCATTGAAATAAAAAACAATTGCACAAACACTTAGTCTTGACAGTTTGTTAACGAAAGCAAATAGAACCGTAGCGCACTATCGATTTCTCTTTGCGTATGTGCGCTACCATCTTTAATATGGTAGCGCGCGTATATAATGTGAACGGAGTGAAACGTTGTTGCAGCTGATTTAATATCAAAACTTCTACCGGTATATCGGTCTGTGCGATCGCATATTGTATCCCGTTGTGTTGTTCATTTATCAGTACATGCATCTATTTTCGTTGCAGAGTTGCTGAATTTCTAACACATATAGATCGCTGTAATTCCGCAATAATGTGAAGTGAAATGGCTATAGCCATGTATGGCTACTGAACATCGATAGGCATTCCGCGGTTGTGGCCGTAAAGGATATGTCCTAAGAAACAAGTATGCTAACGACCCCACATAAACGATATATTCACAAAGAAACAACATACGTATTTTCATTCATAGTTAGAAACTTTTTTTCTAGACGTTTTTTACTCCATTTATTAGCCGATATCGTAAATTAAAGTTTGCGGATATCTACTCGGTTTCTACTTAATATCCGATTTTTAATATCTATCCGACGACGCAGCAGTGTAGCAATTTTCAATAAATTGAAATTAGTTTGTAATTAACAATGCACAATATTGCGCGAGTTATAATAAAACACCGACACATTGACACTCTGTACGTTGTTTTTAAAAAAAGTAATCAATACATTTGAACGAGTGGGTAGTAATATAATAATGATATTATATAACGATATAGTACTTTTCTCTATCCGCTGCTACACTAATCGATCGAAAATGAAGAACTTGTAATTAAATTTTACACATTTTTTGGCATATAAAGTTACATATAACTGATCGTTAAAGTTCCAACAAACTTCACACCCTCTCTGATTGAAGGATTTAGATGGATGAAAATGGATTCTAAAATGATTAATGTAATGATAGTCGATGACAGAGTATTACTTACAGACTATTGATTCAAGGTAGCGATAAAAAATGATTGTGCGAAGAAAAGCCTCATAAAAAATTGATAAAATTATTAGAAATTCTATTATCTATTAGTCGAGCTTCTGCTTTAGTAAGCGAGATGCAATTAACTCCGAGCAACTCCAAGCATTTAAACTTCTTCGTGCTTGGCTTAGCAAGCATTGGAAGATATTATCGCTTCGTTAACTACAGTTTACTGTAGCGCGTTCTCTCGACGGTCCATATTCGTCGGTACTGTATCACCTGCAAGTTATCAACTTACAATTCATATTTCACGTTGGGAGTCGTCCTTGATCGTGTTAATGCACGTATTTTTTCCTTCTTTGTGACTATTCACACTTTAATTTAAGGTTGTGAGCGATGTTTTACGACGTTAATGTTGTGTGTTGCCTCCAAGTTCGTGCCATGTTCTTACTTCTGTCCGATGTATCGAACACTGTCGTTGATCGTGTGGCGTGTGTCTGTGTACGTCTGTCCAGTTAATTAATTAATCATTGATCTTTTTCTGTTTCATGCCTCGTTTGCACTACGTAACGATCGGAACCGCAGAGCGCAATTAGAGTAAGTATGAACGACTGTGCGTTTTAAAAGCGACACTTTTAACGAGAGATCCATTGTTCTATGCTGCTTCATTTAACTTCTCTTCCTATCTTCTCTTTCGATTTCTCTTCTTAACGGATACACTGTTCACCAACGGGCGCTACTACGTAAGTAGTTCTTTCTTCGACCCAAGTTCTATCAGTTTTCTCATCTTGCCCGATGAGCATCGATGACTATACCCGACGCTGTTTGTGTTGTCTGTAGTCAGCGTTTGTTCACAACGAATTTTACTTCTCTCTTTCCTCATCTTTTGTCTATCTCTCAATATGCCTGTCTGCTATCATTCTCTGTCAAGTTTCTTTCTTATCTCTACTATCGTAGTCACAATGCTTTCTGCTCGAGAGAGTCCAGCTCGGTCGATCGCTGCTGGATTTATCTTATTCTTTATACCGAGACCATTTTCTGTTATTGCTCGCCTGCATAAATACACGAATAGATATGATAGATCTTGTTTGTACGGCCACCCCTGTTGGACCAACAGCTTTCACAAAACAAACATACGTTGTTAATGTTACACGGACATGAAATTTTTGCTATTTTTGGTAGCGTCAACATACACACATAGAAATATTCTACCGTATTTTTACAGCCTAAGAAAAGACGTCGATTAGATGAATGAAATTAGATCGATAAAGCGATAAAAATTATTTCGTATCCGGAAGGAATAATTTTACTAATTTTGTATCTATTGTGTACCAATACGTTACTGTAAATAAAGAGCTTTGGATCTTGCGATGCGAATTGTGGTTGCAGCAGATTTGTCTCTCCGCTGAACAACTTTCTAGACAGTCTCACGCGTTATTCTCTACAACGCTTAAACGCGAATTCGCATATTATGCTATTTGCACGCAGCTGATAAATACGAATACGCTGGCGAACTTCTGCCACTATTCGCGGAGTCATAAAACTTAGTTCCGCGAACGCGGTCGCCATTCACTGAGCTGAGTACAATGAGCTTCTTCAGCCATGCATCCGCTTGAGAGCGTTGAATCCGTACGGTTTTCAGTTACGCGTTGCCGAGCCTCCGAGAACAACGTGTCGCAAGCGTTTCTGTTATCGCACGACACGATTCACCTATTGTTTTCCTTAACCTTTTGCAAATGCGCTTACAATGCCGCATTTGCGAATCCCACGTTAGTTCGAATTTTCGGTCCGTTTGTGCATCAGCGAGCGTCTAATGATTCGTAGGAGTAACGTGATGGCGGATCGTGTTCCTCGTTTGCTCGAAGGTATAATAAGACGTCTTACTGTAACTGTATCGGCAATGTAGTTGTCGGGAATTGGTCGTAATATCAACGTCGGGACAGCATCGAGCAATTATCGACAAATGTTCGATTGAATCGAAAGTTAATCGTGCAAACTTACACTAGTCACTATTGTGAAATATGAAAGCTCGCTATATATTTCCTCTCGCAATATTTATAGTATGGCCCGATTTTATTACAGTACATTTATTACGACGGCAAATTTTTTAGCCCATTATTCTCAGCGGAAACATCGAGCGAGATCTTTATCGGTCATTTTGAGAAGACTTTGTAGAAGATGCGCTTTATTTTATTTAAAGACAGTACGCAAACACGATTCTACAGACTTGAACCTTAAATATAATAAAGTGGCATTCAAAATTATTTTTATGAGAGTTATATTTGGATAGTTCTTTTTATTTTACAAATGTATTTGGCAGGTTTTATTTATCGTATGAAATATGCATAATTTATTTTATAAGTCAAGCGCACACGTATCATCCCATTGAAATTATCCTATATTGAAAACATAGAAACATGATAGTATTAATTGGTGCGGAAATGCATTTGATTAAACCAAACGATAAAGAGCATTTAAATCAATGCGCATTTCGCCAATATTAGTAAATTTTCGTTTGATCGTCCAAACATATTTTTCGCCAAATTCATCGCGTTTTCTTTTTAGGTTGGCGTTTTGTTTCAACGCAAACACGACATTTTATATTTTCGATATATTTTTCATGAAGTAGCGCGTTATTATAACCGATCGTTTCGATATGCCACGGAGGGGTGACGGTAATCTAAATTTATGCAGGCCGCTGTCATAAATGTCCCGCGATGACATTTTCGTACACATCCATAACGAAACATCGTTGTCCGCGGATTTTTTTCTCACTCTTATTTATGAGTTATGAATAAAGAATCGTAGTAAATAAGAAAGCGGGCGCCGACCCGGTAAAATATCCGCTAAGACCTCTCTTTAATCGGATAAAAAGAATTTATGCGTGTGTATACATTTCCCTTCCGCGCGGATCTACATGCGAGATTGCAATGTTTTGTATTTTTCGCATTGATTTTCGCGAAGTGTATGCTGAAATCGCACGGGAAATGTAATCCTATTTTTGCACATAAATAACTCTGACATCGAATATTTTGGTATTTTAAATTATATTGTGAATTTGCAGATCATTTGAATAATACTGCAAATTAAAGCTTGTGAAAAATCAGGCAGGTGTAACGGACATAAAAAATGTAATTGCTATAATATTAATCTGTGATCACAGCGAAGGTATAATGTATTCGTTACGTCATCAATTGGTTAATAATTACACTCGTTTCATCAGGATTCGATGCGTGATATTTACTCGGATAGGTATGTATCAATGATTTCGACGTCTTGCAACCCTTCGATGTCTTGCGAGAAGTATGCATATTTATAGAAAAATCGAGCATAAATATATTATCTACAGAAACATTTCAACATTACTGGATGATATTGTCATATTTTTTTTACAAAATACAATTTTTTTTACTTAGAATAGATCGAAACATTAGCGTTTCTGTGCTAAACATTTTCAACTGGCATATACGCATAATTTTTTGCGTTACACACACATCATGCATTTACTTTTCTCTAGCTTCCGTCATGTCTGTGCAACTATGAATGCTCCGCAGTCGCAGCTGGTAGTAAACAGCAACTATTAATAAGCCGCCGACGACATAGCGGAGGCGTATCGGTCGGCGTGCTTGACAGTACGTTGTCTCGATTAGCGGCATAGTTCGTGGTAGATGCGACACAGTAGATTGAGCTGATAAGAGATTTATCTAGATCTTAGGGCGCCTATTATGCCTAGCATACGTTACAGAAATGTATCGCTAGGATGTACGCCACTGTTGATAAGCCTATGCATGAGTGCACTACAGGGGCGAGCAAGCGCAGTTCCAGCAAGTTTCAGATCAATCAAGGCAGTTCGGAAGTGTTATCTCTTGAACAACAATGCTAACGTTTATCTTGATAATGCAAAACATTTTAATATTGAGTTAATATTTCAGAAAATAAAACCCATCGAGCAATTGATTGGGAATAAATAGATTATAAATTTAATCACACAGCGCCCATTCAGACTCACGTGAGTCGAAAGAAATCCATTGATTAATAATCGCTTACTGAATTTGATATTTCTGAATTCGATTAATTAAATTTTGAACAATGAAAAAGTATAAAACATTATGGTATAATAATAATGATGCGTTATAATTAAAATATTTCTTTGCAGAAAATTAATGAAAATGTTCGTATAATCGTACATAGTATAAAAGAAATTTTATGCGACGGAGAATAATACAAAATTATCATGGAATTTTTTTTAGCAATTTAATATAAAAAATAATATTCTAAAGACAAGCGTATTCTATTTAAAACAAAATTTTCTTTGTGACAATAATGATTAGAAAATTCAGAGTTAACGACAAGTAAACATTGTTAAGTTCATTTTAGTGGCACTTCAGCGCCACTTTTATGACACTTCTTTGTCTGAAGGAAAATAAAGAACAAGTCGACCGGATTTTCGTGAGAAGAGAAAAAGCGAACGCGGATGTAACTTGACGAATTTCACATTTCTTTTTCCAGAACAACCGGTAGTCCCGCTAGTAAATCTCCAGCAGGTGGTAGCGGCGGTCCCGCGAGTGGTGCGGCAGGTGCGACAGCGGCACCAGGCAGCGGCGCCAGCAATGCCGGGAGCGCGGAGCCTCGTACACCAACCGCCGGGCCACAGAATAAGCAACTGCAAAATGTCAAAGGGGAACACCCTTCGGTAAACTTCTTCTAAAAGCTCATCTAGATTTTGCGCGTGATATCATTATGGTAATCGCGACGACTGGGACGAGGCACGAAAATAAAAGTAATTTCTAAAATTATCCGAAAACGATGATCGTGTTAATTTCGCCGCAACTAATTGCGATATTACATGTTGAAAGCGGTATCGAAATAGACGCAATAACGTACGTGAGCAGCGAGTTTCTATTTAATGCAGAAATGGATTTGCAATTATAATAAAACGCGCGTGCGCAAATACCGCCGTGTTGTCGCCTAAGCTAATATTGCAGTATATTGCAATGCCAATATTAATCCTATATAAGTACGATATATTTGTAACGTTAGAATGTAAATTTCCGTTCAACCATTTGTCCTAGATTTTTCATCTCACGCGAACGACGCGAATTTTAAAAGAATTGCGTTTCAGTTTAGATTTCAATCGCGTTTTCTTTCCGAGCTAAAAGAATCTCAAGAATATGGGAAGGATCCCAAGACAGATCGTTTTTCCCGGAAGATAGCGATTGTATCGGCGATATGTGTGTTGCAGAAAGCGTTCCTGCAGAGCAGGTCCATCTCCCTGGTTGACATGTATATCGATAATTCGGAGCCGAGCGAGAATGTCGGCCAGATCCACTTCAGCCTCGAGTACGACTTCCAGAACAGCACGCTTATTCTGCGCATCATACAGGTCAGTCAAAGTTTCGTTACACGATGCGCGCTGTTGGAAACTCCGGAACTTGCCTATCAGCTGTTTATTTCGGCATCTCTTGTGTTTGCGCATGATGCACGCATTGATGCGAGCGATCGGAACACATTGCTGTGTTTGTACATGAAAAGTTTCGATCGAAGTGTCACATATTAATTTTTATTTATTTTTGTAATATTGAGATGCAAATTGTGTGAGAAAGAAAAAGAAGTTGCGAAAGCACAAAATATCAACTCTTCAATGGTGCTTTTAAATCATTCTCCGACTTGAAGTATAGCCGCGCGTTGCTCCACGCAAACAGATTGATTGATATGCGTATTTCACGATGTCAACGTTTTTTGTCCGACGCGGCTATAAAAATATAACTGGGGATATGTTAGGCAACTTTGATTTCATACGCGCTATATCGATAAGGGGTCGCCATAAATCGCCGACGAGACACACGCTGCGCGTCGAAAATGTGTACGTGTGTACGTACTCGAAATGCACGTACTCTGGAAAAGTGGGACGTCACATACATTACTCCCTGTTGTAGCGGGGACTTTCGAAACTCATTGCGCGATGGTCTCAGGAAAAATAGAACGTTCAGGGAATTTTGTTGTAAACAAACGCATAAATTTCCAGACGTTGCATTTTGTTCATCCCGCACGATTTAACGCGCCGTTAAGTGAAACACTCGGGCACCGCTTACCGCGTTTCCTTCGTACGGCGGGGATCATCGTGCCAAAATCTCAGGACAGCAGCTAAGTATACTGTTTGTACGATCGTGTGTCAATATCGTTGATATATATACACACAGCGGTTGAAACTCTACGTTCTTTACCGATATTTCACAAAGTGCTCGATTTTAACATGCAGTTATTTCTTGAACAAGTAAACATGTAACAAAAATTGCACGAGTGTATTAGAAAATTGTAATACACGTAATAGCTTTTTTATGCTAGAATGATATCATTACGTGCTACTTTTAGCGAAAAATTATAATGGAATTGCATTGTATTATCGCGCAATTTATCAAAGAAGCGTGTCCGTAAAAGTTTTATTTCTCACTCAATTTGCATCCGAGCTTTTTCTTTAACGAATATTTAATCACTTCACTGCTGAATTATTTAACAGAGGACTCGAGCGATTTTAACTTGTATTTTCGACAATCTTTATATTAAATTGCACGAATAAAAATATGAAGATCGCGTATATTTCTTCCGTTTTTCTCGCTACTTGGTCAATTTTTACGAAATTGGTTAATTTTATACATCTTGAAATACGATTTTTTTTCTAGCACCTAACATGATTGTAAATGACTTAGAATGTACCTTGATGAAAGCGGAACCATGTTTTCATTCTTAAAAATTTCTATTTTCGCTAGTTTCTGTCGTGTCTCTCGCGGCGTGAAAATTTCTTGACACCTCGGAAAGTTCAACCAAGCGTTCACCAAAGCCATCGTGTTTATTCTATTTATGTCCAATATCTTTGTGGAAATGCTTGAAGGTAGAAATTTCATGTGCAGAAACGGGCGTATATGTGATGTAAAGTGTCAAAAAAATTATGGGTATGAACTTTAACTGCAAATTTTATTTATGTATTTTTTATCAGTTTAAAATCGCTTGTTTCTTGGTAAAAATAAAATTATATGTAATCTTTTCTCTTGCACGTTCTTAATTTTTAACATAAAATATTTTAAAATTTTATCTAATGAATGATAAAATTAAATAAAGTTCAAGAGCTATTTATTTACGCTTATAGATGCTTTTTTTTTTAATTTGTGTAAAAGAGGCTGTTTATTTTCAGAAGTTTGTTTCTCAAAAGAGAAACTGTTTGGAATCACATTTATGAAAATATTTTTGTTATTAAACGAATTTCAAAATTTACTTAAAAAAACTATTCTTCTTTCTTTGAAAACCAAAATCTTTGTAATTTCGAAGCTTGTCTGTAAAGTTGCGCGACACTTTATATGCAACGAATCGTTCTTCTAGGAGAGTTTAAATCGGCATAATGACGTTACGAAGTTTAGAGAAACGGTCTGACAAGCAAATGAAAAATGATCGTCCACCTCTGGATGGTAAATGCCTCCAAGGCCACGATCGGACTTTTCAACCGAACGTGCCATTACAGAAAGTTGGAAAGAGGGCACTTTTGGGGGCAAGACTTATTTTTCAAAACACAGACGGCCGTCAAGGCCATTAAGAGCCGTTATTGATTTTGCTTGCCATCCACGTATCTCCCATTAACAGCATCGACTGTGTTGCACACAAAGGCCGCTTACACGCTTACAATCTGTCTGAGGACGATGCTAGTTATACCGCAGAGACTGTTGTGCAGCGTACACTTGCTGAATTCTCTTATCTATAGACTTGGAAAACTGTGACATCTCCGTAAGATGTTTGCGCGGTGAAAATGAAGTCTCGTGTTCCCGTCGATTCCAATAGACGGGTGCATCTTTGCGATTTTAACGTCCGCAGCTCTCAGACATTAATTTGTTGAAATAAAAGTTATTTTTCTTTTTATTTCTGTTTTAAAATTTTGCAATTTAGTATGAGATCTCGTGATATAACTTAAGTATCGTTATGCTTTTCTTAAACGAAAAGAAATATTTTCTTGCTTTTAGATTTTTCTTTAATTCATAAGTTTTCTCAAAATTCCTAAAAGCTCAACATTATACTTGTACTCTAGTTTAATGGAAAATCCAACCTTGTTTATAACATTATGCAAGTATTATATATGGATTGTGTATACATTATAACATTGTAGACATTATGTATACAGAGATTACATCAAACTTCACTCTTCATAGGAGGATTTCTTTGATTTCGAAAGTACACGTTTCGCGTAATCACATGGTTCGAGGAGCAACAGCAAATTTGTCATCTTTTTGTAAGAAAAAGAAAAATGATTCCAATGTTATTCTAATATGATATTTGATTTATTTTCAGGGTAAGGATTTGCCGGCAAAAGACTTGTCAGGCACTTCTGATCCTTACGTCCGCGTCACATTGCTTCCGGACAAGAAACACCGGCTTGAGACAAAAATCAAAAGGCGCACATTGAATCCGAGATGGAATGAGACGTTTTATTTCGAAGGTAAGTGCTTCTTATATTTTTTAATTAAATGGTTTTCAAATATACTTTTTCCTGGAAATGAAGGGAAAAAGAAACGAAAGTAAAGCAATTTTCCTACATGTAGTGCAGCAAATAAAAGTCAGATGACATTGTATTTGATTGGATTAAGCTAATTTAAAGGAATTGAAACAATGTAGCAATTTGAAAATAATAAAGTGACCTGGAACACAAAAAAAATTTATATTTCTATTTAGAATTAAAATCTATAAGAAAATGAATATATACGTGAATTTTAATTGTTTCCTTTCAATGTTAAATTTTAACGTTTAATTTTTCTACGTACGCGAGGCGATGCTGCAATGCTCAATTTGCAGTTAAAATATTTTGTTGATATGAGAGAGAAATAAGAAGTCATTCTCTCATCAAGAGAGACAATTAAGAATGTCATCTTGAACTGAAGTGAAATTATATGAATAATCGGCGAACAGAATTATTGCAATTTAATGAAGCATACGCATTTATGCCAATCATCCAGGTTTTCCCATACAGAAGCTACAGAGCAGGGTATTACATCTACATGTCTTCGACTACGATCGATTCTCGAGGGACGACTCCATAGGGGAAATGTTTCTGCCGCTTTGCCAGGTAATTTGCCGAGACGTGCCCGCTCGCAATTTGCGCGGTTCAATTATTACACTCGGTAGACACGGATTAAGGGATTCGTACGCTACGGTGATAAGATTCGCGACAGATACCTACATAGAATCTAACGTGCGTTGTACATCTTGCATTCCCCCTCGTCTGGCGCTGCCCTTGTCGGCTTCCGGCCTCTTATCTCGTAATTATTACCCGCCGTCGTGAAATTACTGTCTAAAGGGTGCAAACTGCTCAAATAAATTGACTAATTATTTTGCAGAACCGCCAAAAGAGAGAATTATGGCGTTTGAAAAGTGCAGTTTATCGCGAATTTATAGAAGCAATTATTTTATGTTAGAGTGAAAGAGAATGTACATTGAAAATTGGACTATAAATATTCACAATACTATTATAATCCATTGTGAAATCCATTATATAACATTATTGATATTAATATTACTTTTATTTCCATTATATTTTTTATTCACTGTACTGCGTGTCATAGAAATGTCTCATTTGTTTAAATACCGAAATTGAATATTTATTCATATGTGCAAATGTATTCCGACATTTAAATATTTTGCAAAAACCAACATCAGTTATAAAAATAAATTTTTATAGATTTACAGATTAGATATTTCAAACAAAACAATCGACATGGACTCTTATAAAAATAAGCTCTTGAAATATTGCGAGATCGATTGAGCTTCTTACGTATCTGCGAATAGTATTTAATTTATTCTAATCGTGCCGGAAATTACTTGACAATATATATAGGCCAATATCAATATCGCCAAGCGGCGAGTAAATCTGTGCGCATAATAATACCGGCGGGCACGCGCGCGTATTAATTCTCTACGCTATGCACACATTCATTTCCCAGAAGCAATTCGTGATATATGCCGGCATTGCGAATCGGCCGTCCGTACATCTCATGCATCGTCGTCGCATACGGGAAGATTAATACGTAGATGCTTTATCGAGTATTTTATTACAATAATATTATACGATTGTGAAATCTATTAATAAATAATTATTGTCGAGCGATAAACGCGCGAAGAATTAATTTTTTGATGATTCGAAAGGAATTGCTTTGACCGTGAATTGGATTACGAATAATCGATTCTCGTCACGCAATGTGACATATTTATGCAATTCGGAACGTGTTTACGTCGCGAAAATCCGACTTTTCTAATTTGCGACATATGATACCAATTAATTATTACGCTCGTACGTGATCGCTTCGAATGGAATACGTAATTAACACGTGCTCTCGCTGTGTTCTCTAATAAGAACCAAACGTGACGGAGGTAAAAATGATGATAATATAACGAACGCTTTCTCCTTTCGTCTAAAAAATCGTGTAAATTTTGATAAAGATACGCGTACGCGTGCACGCATCAAGTGTATTCGTTGATTTAACTTTATTTTGTTGTTTTTTTATTTTTACATCTAACTATGAAATTAATAATCGATGGAAATTAATCGTAGAATTTGTCAATACAAATATGTAAATAAAGAAAATATTTCTTCTCACGTAAAGTATTACATTTTGGGATTTGGCTCATTAATTAAATTTAGCAAATTATAAGTCGTACAATGTTACAACAAATATTAGCGATATACCGGGTTTGTCGCAGGTCGATCTATCGGAGAAACCGTCATTTTGGAAGGCTCTCAAACCGCCGGCTAAAGATAAATGCGGAGAACTCTTGTGCTCGCTGTGCTATCATCCGAGTAATTCCATATTGACGTTGACCCTTTTGAAGGCGAGAAATCTCAAAGCCAAGGATATCAATGGAAAATCAGGTGATATTGCATTCGTTATCATCAAAGTTGTCTTGTGTAGCAGAGTGAGACAACAAATGTTTTTAAAAAATTATACTTTTTGATATGTGCAGGATATGCTTCTTTTAAACACTCGAAATACATCTTGTGCCACGTTATTTTTGAATTAAATTACATTAATGTGATATAATGTGCGCATTTTACTTTCTTTTTATTACGTTCAAGGAAAGAAGAAACTCGATTAATTAAATGTTTGCGATTTCAGATCCTTATGTCAAGGTGTGGCTGCAGTTCGGCGACAAGAGGATCGAGAAGCGCAAGACTCCGATTTTCAAATGCACTCTGAATCCAGTATTTAACGAAGTATTCTCTTTTAACGTACCTTGGGAAAAGATTAGAGAATGCTCTTTGGATGTCATGGTAATGGACTTCGACAACATTGGACGAAACGAACTGATTGGTCGGATTCAGCTCGCAGGTATTTCGAATTTTTTTAAATAATATATCGTTATTAGAAAATTTGTACTATTTCTCGAGATTTAAATGCTGAAATTTAACCGCTATTGAGAATAATGCATTGCCATCTTAAACTCTGTGTGAAGTTTTATTATTATTATTACAATTAATCGAAGCGGTTTTTATTGAAAAAAAAAAGAATGATTGGTTCATCTGTGTATTTAGCGCTTGTCTTATATATTCAGGAATAGCTGTACCATATTTTGTTCATGGCTTTAGAACGCTCGGAACTCCAGATTTGTTTTTTGTTAAAGTAGCCTTCCGTTTGACCGAACGTAAAATGTCACAAAAGATAGATAGCAGAAAGAAATTGGAGTCCAGCGGTGTATAGCGCGCGCATGAATTCCTTTCAGGAAAAAATGGAAGTGGCGCGAGCGAAACGAAGCATTGGCAGGATATGATCACAAAGCCGAGGCAGACCATTGTGCAGTGGCATCGCTTGAAGCCCGAGTAAAGGACACGCTTTACCTTGATCGACGACAAATGATATTCTGTCGTGCGAGCTCCGCGGGCGCGCCCCGTCGATGTTACGTTAACAAGGCAATTTTTTCTTTTGCTCGATATCCCCGCAATCGATCTCCGACGAGTACCCATTCGACGACTGTAAAATACCTCCCGCATCACGTAGGGCGCTCTTAGCGACGCTGGTCGTCGGGGAGTCATGATCGAATGTTAATATCGCGATTAGAAAACAGAGCATTCTCGTGATCGCTCGTTGTTACGCCGTTTTCGTGTATTAACGAGTGACAATGAGGAATCGTCGTTGTCACTCGTCGTTGGTAGCGTCGAAAGCTACTACTTTCTAGTTTTCAACAAGTCGCGCCACCGAGAAGTTTTCGCACGATCGGCGTACGACCAGGCGTTTTGAACGTCGTTGATTGGCGATGAGAGTGACGAGATGCGCTGAACCCTTGCCCCCAGAAATTGTAATTGCGCCGACGACAACGCTCCGCATCGAAGTACGGACGGCAACAGCTTCACCGTAGTGAAATCAGGAAGCTTCTCCAGGTATGTCAGGTGCCACTTTTCTGTTTTCACCTTCTTCTTCTTCCGCGTGTCCACCTCGTTGCCGCTTGGCGCTGGGCGGCACGGAGACTGCGAAGTTGGACACCGTGAGTGATCAGTCGTTCGCTCTGGGGCGAACTCTATCCTCTTTTGTTTGTTCGCCAGACAACGCAAGAGGTCTGCCGAATCTTTTAGACGGACCTTTTAGCTATTTCAAAGTCCTTTGGGCTTTTGTGTTGTCTGCGTGCACACGCGCTCGCGGCGCGAGATTGTATCAGAATCGTCACGACACTCTAAAATTGAAGGGGCGAGTAGGCAAAGGAGATACACAGTCACATTTTCACGAAAGGAGCATTACTTTCATGGGTAAATTAATGTTGTTATAGCACGTGTAATATCAATCTAGTGATGTGATAGCTTTTAGAAACGGAGGGTCTGTGTACAATATTGAATTTCACTCCACTGTGATCATTGACTCAAAATTAAAGGCGATAATCATAAAATAATGCGATTGTTGCGTGTATCATCTTTTTTCACTTGCCCCTTCGATTGTCCAGTTGAGGAAAATCACTTCGCGTCACGGAACCCAGACAAAACCGATGAGCTTTCTAAAACAACTAGTATTGCTTCACGATAGCGACGTCATGAACTCTTACATTTGTAATATTTATATTTGTAATAAATATCACACACACACATACACACACACACACACACACACACACACACACACAACAACACACACAACACACA